ATCCTTTGTAAGAACAGAAATGAAAATTACCCTGTATTTCAGGAGTCTCTCACCCTAAACCTTGTACTGAGTTTAGTAACTGAGTAATTGAGTTTAGTGACTGAAAAAGGCAAATTGATAGTTGGGCTCAGGTTCTGAAATCATCAGAGGCCTCCCCTGGCTCCTGCTCTGACTGTGGGCTTTTCCAGACCCAAGCCAGTTTCTTTTCCTCCTGTTTGATAATCTTTACGTGCACTTATAAGAAGCCTCTAAAGCGCAGTACAATTTTTAGAGTTGAGCACAGCTCTGGAATAATCCTCTGGTCTGTGGAAAAGAAATAATCAGCAGCAGCATTATAAGATTATATAAAGAGAAAGAAAAGAGTAGCAGTGGAAAGAAAGTAATTAGACTTGAGAGCTTTTAGGATCATTATGGTGAGTACAGATGGAAGAGAGCATTTACAAGAAGCATATGCAGAAATGTCTATATCAAATTTGGTGCCTGCATAAGGGATTACTGAAGTGAAGGCTCTTTGGATGGATGTGGTCAGTGGATGTATCAGTCAGCAACTGTTGAAGATAAAGCAGTGAGTATCCAATGGAAGAAGTCTAGTAGAAAAGGAATAGAGAATTAGCTACTGAATGCTTTGTAGTAAGAAGCAGGAACCTTATTCTAATGCAAACAATAACATCTGATGTTGGTTTTGAGTATGGAGAGTTGTAGGCAATTAATTAAAAAATCAAAAATATGAGAAAGCAGGATAGGGAACTTCACATTTAATTGGAGTGTTAAAATCATCAGTCTGACTGTTACTAGCCTAAGTGAATTCAATTAATAACTCATTAATTCATAACTGGATTTTCTTTGGATAATCTTAATATTATTTTTTTTCTTTTTGTTGTTTTTTTTTGTTGCAGAATTCATAGCAACAGTTCTGCTCATTTCCTTACATGATCTACAGCATCTACAGACCTTATTTTCTGCCATGAAGTTGTTTAAATTAGAGAGTCTAAAATTCTTGTGGACTCTGAAGCCTCCTAACAGGACTTTCCATGGACACCCCAGGCTGCTTGCCTCTGATGTGCATTCCCAGTATGAGTCCATCAGACGGGGCAAACAGGAAATACCAAAGTACTTTAACTATGCAAGTGATGTACTGGACAAATGGTCTGAGATTGAAAAGGTAGATGATCTTTTTTTGTGCCAATGAGATACACTTATTTGAAATTCATTTGAAATAATTTGGGTCTGGAAACAATTAGGTTGGTAAACATTTCAGGTTCAGAAAAGGAGAATCTACTGGGAATACCTGAGCGTGATGCATAGCACATCTCAATCCATTAAGGACAAGGGAAAAATAACAGGTTATATGCCAGTTGTGAAATACCCAGATCTTCCATAATTTGCTTTGTGTTTTTGCATTATAATTTCATAGTCTGTCAGAAGAAAATGTTTTGTGTTTGAATCCCTATGCTTTGTAGGCTGGAAAGAGACCACCAAACCCTGCATTTTGGTGGATAAATGGACAAGGAGAAGAAGTGAAGTGGAGCTTTGAAGAGCTGGGGTTCCTGTCTCGGAAAGTGGCCAATGTGCTGACTAAAGAATGTGGGCTGCAGAAGGGGGACAGACTTATCGTGATCCTACCACGAATCCCAGAGTGGTGGCTGGTGAATGTGGCTTGTATGCGAGCAGGTCAGTGAGCATATCTGAGACTGGCAAAATGGTTATTGCAAGGTTGAAAGGATCAAGCATGTATGTGGTTTATGAAGGAAAAGTAATGTAATAATCCAGTGAGCGGCCCAACTACCAATTATGCAGGCAGTCCTGAAGGGTTTGCACCAGGTGCAATAGGACAGGTGGCCTGTGCAGCAGGCATGAAGATGCCAGAATACAGGGAAGAGCCATGGAAGTCACCAGACAGGTCCACATGTCATTGCTTGCAGGAGAGCACAAGCATCTGCATTATTCAGTATAACTGTTTGTCTGGGGAACACCAGGACAAATCCATATCAGAGGTCGGTTTGGGAATAGTTTATAGTTTAGATTCCTAGAAAAGAATCAGATGTAAAAAAAAATATGCCAACCCAAACTAACTTTATCTCTCTTCCAGGAATTGTCTTAATTCCAGGAGTATCCCAGTTATCAGCCAAAGACATCCTATATCGACTCCAGGCATCCAAGGCCACGTGCATAATTACCACTGACAAAGTGGCTCCTGCAGTGGACTCGGTGGCATCTGAGTGTCAGTTTCTGAAAACCAAGCTAATGGTGTCCAAGGACAGTAGGGAAGGGTGGCTGAACTTCACTGAGCTCTACAAGTGAGTATGAGTTAATAGATTGCTAATCCACATTGAGATGTTTGCTATCAGTGGTCTCATTCTGGGATGCTTCTACCCTCTTCTTTTTAAGGGGAAGTCTGTCTTTGAGGAAGTATAACATCATGTTATTTTAGTATAATTTTGTGAAACTACTGTGAAGCTTATTTGGAATACTTCATTACATTCTGAAGCCTTTGTAAAGTAACCATTGAAATCATTATTACATTCTCTTTTTTTAAAGAAACCAAGCTGCTGACCATTCCTGTGTCAAAACAAGGATTCAAGACCCGATGATTATCTTCTTTACCAGTGGAACCACAGGTTCTCCTAAGATGACTCAACATTCCCAGGGTAGTCTTGGTTTCAGACCCCTTTTAAGTGAAAGGTATGAAAGGCTTGAGCCTGATTTGAACATAAGGTAATTGAAGCTGCATAATAGAACTGGTGAAAAATTACTGAGTAAGAAATACCAATGTACAGCTCTGGTCCTTCTCGCTTTGAAATGGGAGTACAAACTCCAGCAAATTTCCAGGGGAGTAGGATCATCCCCAGTGTTTTTGTTTTTCAGTTAATATCTCTTACCCTCTTTCCAGAGTGGTTCAAAGGACAGCTGTCAGCTGGGAATATCATAGTGCAGAGAACCAAGAGATACCACACTGGGCTGCAAAAAGCTCTGTGATGTGTGCAGATGAGCAGAGTTTGTTGGTTGCACAGGTCACTCGGTCTCTCAGCAGCCTTAGAACTGAAATATCTGGTCTCCAACACAGAATCCATGAATGCTGCAGTTTCAGCCCTATCTTCCTACCTACTGGAAAGCCACTGCATTGATATTCAGACTCCCCTCTCTGCCCCACTCTATCCTATATTGTGACTGACATCATATATGTAGGGTATACATATGTGTGGTTTTGTATATGTATATTTGTGCAAACATATAGGTAGGTGTCCTTTTATCCTTGAGCTAGCTCTTGAACTTATTTGAGTGCTCAGTGCACATGTATCTTGTCAGAAATCTTGGGCTTTTGGGTTTCTTTGGGTTTCTTTGTTTTCTTTGTTTGTGGTTTGGGTTTGGGCTTTTTAAGCAAATATTTTTCATTATCTTTTCATTCTATTTTTATTTCTGGTCTATCAGGTACTGGTTAGATTTGACACCTTCTGGCATGATATGGAACACAGCAGACACAGGATGGATACTAACTTCAGTGGCAGCTGTTTATGATCCCTGGGTTTTCGGGTCATGCATCTTTATACATAACCTACCACGGATTGACTCAGCAGTCATCCTAAATGTAAGGGAAAAACTCATGAAAATGTGTTAACCTGCAGAAAGGGCACAAAAAATAATTCTTAACAGCGTCCATAGATTTCATGAGGGTTGTGTCCATAGTTGTGTTCAAGGTGCTCCATCTGTTGTATAAAGCCCATATTTGCATTTTTCATGTATACAGAAGGGGCCAAACATACAATTCATTCATACATTTTGCTCAAAGCTGGTGAGCATATCAATGAAAATCATCCAAAAGCAGCACTTAATATCAGCTGGTATTAACAGAGACTGAAACTAAAGCATTACTCTGCCCACACTGGGCAAGAAGAAAGTGAAAACCTCCCTATGATGCAGACATGCAGACAAAGATGGGCTTATTCTGACCATGCCCCAAGCAGTGGAGTCTAGGTGTCATGTATGAGCATGGGATTTTGTCCAATCAGATATACTGTGAATCTCTGCATATTGCACCAACTGCAGGAGGGTTCCTTACCCAACAGAGTGGTGCTTTTACAGAGGGGGCAAATGTAGTTCTCCTTTCTATGTCATCTGTTTACTGTACATTCACAAGGCAGTTTTTTGTCTGAGCTTCACCTGTCCATCTTGTTTAACTCACCAGACTCTCTGCAGATTCCCAATTGACGTGATGGTCGGTGCTCCAACATTGTTCCGCATGCTGGTGCAAAATGATCTCTCTAGGTATGTTAAAATTATTTACTAATGTTTATTTTACCCTAACTAAGCTTTAGTGATCTCCCATATCCCGCTGCTTGACCCAAAATAGGGCAATAATTTAGTTTAAAATATTCTTCATGAAAAGGCCGTCATACAAATTTGAGTTTTGATGAGTTTTAATGATCAAACATAGAGAAACTTGATGTTTTCCCTTAGAAATTTGATACTTCCACTACTGAACTTGTGAGCAAACCCCTGAGGGTATGAAACAGAGTCTCTTAAATTCTTTATCATAATTTTCGATTACCACATTAATTGTCCGTGCTTTGGAAAGGAATTCATTCTAGAAAGTGTGTGTCAGCACAACTGTGAGGGAGTTAGTGGTTGTGGCAGTTGCTCGTCATCCCCTGCTCCAGTTCTCACTGCCTGTTCCTTCCTCCCCTCTTGCACTTTCTCCCTTGCCCTGTTGCAGAGGGTCAGCAATCAGGGCCCTGGCTCAGCAAATCAGTCAGTGGTTAGTTATAATCCAGGCTGACTTCAGCAAAAGTTTTATTCTATTTTTCATGTGTGCTTAACTCTGACTGCTACTACTCATATGTATGGTGTTGAGCACAGACTGATGTCCTTGTTCTGTCAGGAGCTGAAGGATCAGGGACGCTCTGATTTCCCCCCTTCATGGGACTAAGTCTCCCAGTAAACGGGTCTCCAATGTTGTTTACAGTTGTGTGCTCCTTGTCTTGCCCTGTAGATTAAGTACTGCCTCTCTTGTTTTTAAATTCCTGTGAAGCTACAAATTCATGAACCTGAAGTACTGTGTGAGTGGAGGGGAACCACTCAACCCAGAAGTCATGGAGCAGTGGAAGAGCCAGACTGGGGTGGACATCCATGAAGTTTATGGCCAAACTGAAATGGTACATCTGTAGGGTCCATGTTCTATTAAATCTTTGGAATTCCTTTTTGCTTTATGATATTTTAAGGTTTGTTATGAATGAATACAGTGCGTTTCTTACCTCATGTTTCTGTGAATGTTTCAGCAACCTCCTCCCCTGATAACCTCTGAAAGAAGGTCCTATAATGGCTCCCCCCACAGAACCTGCCAGAAACGTGGGTTGTTGGGAGCAGATGTTCCCTAATATTTCCACAAATGTCCTTAAGCAAATTCCAAGTAACAGTGAGAGTCAAGAGGGCAGTTTGAACCTAAGGGAAGAAGACTGGTTAGCACAGGGCATGAATTCTTCCCAGATCATGGAACAGGATTCTTCCAGGGAGTTTCCTGATTTTTCTTATCACTACTATACAGCACTGGCATATAGGATCCTATGAATCTTAATTCCTTACTTTGCAATTAGTCTAGAAAATATATTTAATGAATCGAGTGTAAACGTAGCAGGTTTCTATTGCAAAACTTTGGTTTGATTTTTACAGGGAATAATCTGCTCTGTTTTGAAAGGAATGAAGATTAAACCTGGATCAATGGGGAAGGCAGCTCCGGATTATGATGTTCAGGTTTGTTGACTGCTCTTTAGATTCTGTCATAACGGCTTTTTGTTTATTTGGGGTTAGGTTTAGGGGGTTTTTTCCCACTGAACTAATATACATGTTGTTTTTCATTCTAGATCGTAGACAAAAATGCTAATATCCTTCCTCCAGGACAACAGGGAGAAATTGCTGTCAGAAGCAAACCTATAAGACCACTTGGTTTTTTCTCTGAATATGTAGTAAGGACTTTATTTTATTCCTTACCACCACCAATCTCCTCCAAAATCTCTCCAGTTGCATAGTGGTTCAAAAGGCTGAATATTTTTCACCAGTTTATTATTTATTACCACAGTAATTTGTTTATTTGGATTGGTGGATGTTAGACAAGGGAAGTGAAGAATTTGCTCAAGATTGAGTTTATTTTTTTTTAAAGAATAACAATTATTTTAAACATATTTTGTTGTATTTTATAGCAATATCATATAGCAAATATTTCGCAAAGCCTAGCCATGATGATGATGATAGCAATATCAATACAATTCTTCCACATCCTTGACTGAAAAATTAAGCTCCAGTGCATTTGACAGTATGTGCATTATAGCATAATGAATAGCTAATGCATGCTCAAAATCTAAACTACTGTTTGTAAACCACTTTAAGGATAACCCTAAGAAAACTGCAGAAACTGAACGTGGGGATTTTTATGTCACTGGAGACAGAGGGACTATGGATGAAGACGGGTATTTTCAGTTTATTGGAAGAGATGATGACATCATCATTTCTTCAGGGTCAGTCTGCACACTTCTCTCTAAATCTGCCATTGTATCGTCTTACATGTCGTGTTCCTAGTGAGCTTCTGACATAACAATCCTGTGATGAATGTATTGACCTCTTGATTTAGGAATACTTGCTTTTATTATTTGCTTTTCATAGACCTGCAGTATCATCTTGGTGATATCAGTGGCATCTCTGTATCCATTTCCCCTGCAACATCTCATCTGTTTCAACAAAGAATGAAGACTTCAACTGGCTCAGGAGGGATTTTTATCTAGTTCATTTTTGACTAAATTTGAAGGACATCTCTATTGGATTCAAAGAGCATTTGAAGCACTTTAACATGATAAAATTATATAATTTGGTATTATATGATGGGATACCATAATGTGGCACCAGCTGCTACTGCAGATCCCAGCTATCAGTGGGATGGAGCTCCAGATTAGGAGCCCCGAGGAAAGGGGAGAGGTGGAGAGGAATCCACAGCCCCAGCAGTCCTCTACAACATGACCACTCTGAAATGCTCCTACTTTCTAACACAACCAGCTTCCCCATTTTGCCTGAAGTTTCTATAGCTGGTTGTTAATTTGTTCTGGTTTGGAGTTTTTTTTCTTCAATAGTACAATTTAAAAACATTTGGTACTTGTTTTCCACTTATTTTTCCTTACTAGGTATCGCATTGGGCCATTTGAAGTAGAGAGTGCCCTGTTAGAGCACCCAGCTGTGGCAGAATCAGCTGTTGTCAGCAGCCCAGATCCCCTCAGAGGAGAGGTAATGACGCTGAGTGGTGAAGGAGGAAAGCAATGTGTTTGTCTAAACATATGATGACATAAAGAAATTTCTACTTAATAATGTACAGCTCTAAGGCAGTCAAGTCATCTTAGAATCAAGGAATCCTTTAGGTTGGAAAAGACCTCTAAGATCATTGAGTCCAACCCAGCAGTGCCACATACACCACTAAACCATGACCTTAAGCACCTCATCTACTTGTATCATGCATAATCCTACTTGGGGTGACAAGCAAAATCCCTTCCCATTTACATGCCTTTGCTCTTCTGAGTTTCTTTTGATCCCAAGAAGGTCTCCTTTGTGGAGAATATTACAGTGATGTTTACTTTCCCCTTGTTCTTAAGCATTTGTCTATATTGAAATTGTCATTTATGACTGTCTTGGTGTAGCCAAAGTTATACTGTAACTGCCCTGGCATTAGACTTGGGCTACAGGGGTGGTGAAAGCACAGTCCTGTGCTGGGATAATAGGGCTTACTGTCCTTAGTGTGAACTTCAGAAAGAAACAAATTGTCCCTTAGCTTTGGGGAGAATTCTACAGACACCCCTTTTGTTGCCCCTTCCTCTTGCTGCTGAGAGGAAACAGCAAAGGCTTTTGCTTTGTAAGGAGGGCAGGAAAGCTGTGCTTTCAACTTTCCCTTCTGCACGTGCACATGCAGAAGCTGGGCACAATCATTTCTTACAGTGTGCTGGTTTCCCTGTTCCTCCCTTTTGAATGTCATGACTCAGAGCAGCACTGCTCACTGGTAACCTGTATAGCAGCTCTTAAAAATGGACCATGTCAGACCACTCTTGTTAATCTTATCTTACAGGTTGTGAAAGCATTTGTGGTTCTGTCCCCATCCTTTTCGTCCAGTGACCTGAAGAGCTTAACCCAGGACTTGCAGGACCATGTGAAGAAAACCACTGCTCCATATAAATACCCTAGAAAGGTAAATGCTTCTGAGGAGAAACTTTAAACCAGGACACCCTTCCATAAGTCTCAGGAGAATTACTATTTACATTTTCATGATTCACCTGAAAGAAACAGCAGTAAAGATTCTTCTAGACCACTGGCCGCAGAAGATCTTTTCTAAATAATATTAGTTCACATTGATTTTCATGCATTTGAGTAAAGTGTTTGTTTAAATATCTCAAAAATTTCTAGGCTTCATACATCCTTAGTTAGAGCTGCATGTTCTAGGTCAGACCCACAATCATAATTCTCCATTTTGTATTTAACCTTCAACCAAGCACTCACTGGTGCCTTTAGGGGAGCAGATGTCTGAATCTGAATAAACTTTTATCTACTGCTCCTCACAGTTAATAAATAAGAGGCAAAGGAGTGGTTTCACAAGTGGCACAATGTGCTGCCTTGATTTGGCTTGGACATGATCCTTTAGCAGGCAGTTCTTACTGACAGGAGTCCTCTCAGTTTTCCACATATGCTGAGAGCTGGTCTTGGAAAACCAACTCCATAGAACATGCTACATTGTTTTCTCTCTTTATTTTATTTAGGTGGAATTTGTCCAAGAGCTGCCAAAGACAATCACTGGGAAGATCAAGAGGAATGAATTAAGAGACAAAGAGTGGGGACGGATGTAGCATTGTTAGGAATTTAACAAAACTTCTTTCATTCCATTAGCACTATATAAATTTCACTAATATAACTGCCCTCATTCTGATCGCTTTTTGTTAAATACTTCAGCACCAAAAACTACAGATGACACCAAGATGTGATATTTATGCTGTATTATTCTGTATTATTCTGGCTGAAAAATAAATTTTTCAATAGACCATTTCAATAGCCTTTCCCTTTGAGATCTCCTCTCCATCCCTCTTACAGCCCAGCTTCTATTTGATGTTATTCTCAAGAGACAATAGAAAAGGTGACACCTGCACCAGAAAAGGTATTCTGTATCAAATATATTTTGATGCATTATTTCCTAAGAGTTTAGTCACCATGTGGGAAGGGACTGAGGTGGAAAGCTCCAGCCTGCAATGTGGCTCTAGTGGAAGGGATATCTGGTAAGATCATGTTGCAACCTCATGAGATAGGAAATGTTGACAGACTCTGGGCATTTAAAAAAAAAAAAGAGTTCCATTTGCTGAAACTTCTTGTCAGTGTGTGCCTCAGGCTGGAGAGGAAGATGTCATTACTCATTTTTACTAAGAAAGAATCTGTATTACCAAGAGATGTGACTTCTCCTCAGACCAATCCATTTTGTACCATGGGTGGTTTTGACAAAGTATTTGCTCTTTTGGGGAGAAAATCTGCATCCTGATATTTTTACTGGACTGTCGAGCACTGTCGGAGTGTACAAGAAATGTAACATTGACAATCTGACCTCATGCTAACTCCATAAGTAAACACAGCTAAATGTCATAGGCCCATCCTGGTAGGATCTGATGTTGTCTTCTTCCATTGAAACTACAGATGAACCTGTATTAGATACCACTGGGATTATGTACAGGGAAATGAAATGCTCCTTCACCTAATCAAGTTGTGTCTCTGAAAACAAATTTATCCTAATTATTTTAATCAAAAGAATCAGATTTTACCAATTCAATACAGTTATAAAATACTGAATTTTGAGTGACATTCTGAGCAATTAGTTGAACAGAGAAAGATAATGCTTGGATGTTACAATAACAGAGGGTTTGAACACAACAGCACATTTTAAAGCCTCAGCTGGCAACGATCGATATCCTGTCGGGTTCCTCAGCAGAGTTGTCACAGTGTGCACTGGGCACAGATTACCAGGCTGAAAGGCAGGTTTGGGGGAATTTCAGCATGAGTTTCACATCCCATTGCTGCTGGCAGTGGGCTCTGCAGAGGTGAAACAGTACTACAGCTTTTCCAAGTGAGGCAGGAATCAGACACCACTTGCAGAGTATCTAGAGTGGTTGAAAAGAACCCCAGGGCATTCACATTCAGAGATAAACATGAATAGTTCATCAGGAATAGCATGATAAGCTCCCCTTGGCTAAGGATGATGCACCAGCTCCCACCAAAGGCCTTCAGAAAACACTTCACTGTCTTTGGCTTCCCTCACTTCCTGCACAGGGTTCCAATAACCGTGAGGTATGGTTTTAAATTTCCCTTCCCTTTTCCTGTATTACATGTTTGTTCTGAGGGATTAAATTTTTTCCTCCTTGATTCAATCAGGACAGAGGAAAAACATGTTGGATATTTTAAATGTAATCCCATTTTTTGAGCAGAATAAAAAGAAATAGGATTAGATTTTTAAGCGCAATCATAAAAACATGTTGAAAAATGTAACCTGCTCACAATATCAGAATCTGTTTCTTTTTAAGCACATTCAGATTTCAAATGTGAGTCATTTTTGGAAAAGTAATCTACTTTGAAGTGAAGTAATCAGATTTTTCATGTAATCCATTTATTCTTTGTAAGTCATACATTTTAAACATAATCTAATTATGACCTTGGGAAATAATTGATTTTAAAGCAATTTTAAAAATATAATCCTGGGACAGATTCTTGGGGTTTGGTGTTGGTCTGTGTTGGGCTTTAAACAGATCTGGCTAGATTGTCCCCTGGTCTCGTGGTGCAAATGGCTCATTCAGCAGGGAAGGGCTGGCTCAGGAGGTTTCCCCTCTGCTGCAGTCACAGACTGCTCAGGCTGCACCTTGGTCCATCAGACTTGCCAACATGTTACTGCAGTTTTGTAATGACACGAAACCTGAACCTGACCAGGAAGAAAAGGAAGAAACAAACAGATGAATCAAAACATTTTTGTTTGCTATCTGTGCAGGGGTCCTGGCTCTGCCTCACTGCCCAGGGCTTAAGCAACCAAATAAAGCCTCTCAGTTGGTCCCTTTGAAGTCCAGGTTGGGCTCAAATTCAGTGGTGTGTGCTTGTCCTGCACTACTGATTTGAGGAATTACTGAATCAACCAACTGATATTCTCTGTTTCTTTAAAACATAACTCATTCTTTGTGCTGGGCACTGGGACTGATGTGCTGCCTGCCCCCTTAATCCTCAAAAGAGCCCATAGCTTTTATATTTGCAGGCTTGCCACAGAAACACAGCTTGGAATGAAACTGTGTCAAACTGCTAAGTTTTGTTATTTCTCTTCACAGATGAGTTGGGGCTTGCTCAACAACTACCAAAGATGATCTCTGGGAACATACAAAGGAAGAAACTAAGAAACACAGAGTGGGGAAGAGCTTAGCTTTGCTGCTGAGCTCCTGACCAGAACATGCTCATCCTGGACTTCTGTGTCTTCTAGCATCCTGTTCCCTGTCAGTCTTAAGAGGTGCTGGACAACCTTCTGAGTAAGGGTAGAAGATACTAATTTTTGTTCCGATGCTTTGGGATATTTCTAAAGCAATATATTCTCTATAATTTTAAATTTACATGGGAGAAATGGTTTTGAAAATAACGATAGAAGAGGGGAAATCAGACTTTATTTTTGTAACTGCAGTGCTATTACTGAAAGCCAGCCTTAAACTCTGAAATAGATATTCCTTTGCTTTCCAGCTACAAAGCACATTATTGTCTCAGGTCAAAACCAGAGAGAAAACAAATGCACAAAATGTTGTGTCTGTGTAGATTACATTAATCTAAATGTATCTAAGCTTGCACTACTGAAACCAGAGAATAGTTGATAATTTATTTCTTTAGAAGCAGAATTAAACCTCAAATGAAAAATAAACCCCACTCTTGAGAGTACTTGCATGCTGAGAGTGTTACATTTTTTTTAAAGGAAATTATAAAATTTGAATATGTGACTAATATTATTTTGTGAGAATGTTTTTTAACCGCTGTCGATGATCAGACTTCTATCTCTGTGTTGTGTAGTTTCAGGTTTAAATATTATCAAGGATTTCCTGGACTGAGTAGTCAGCTCAGACTGTGAGATATTTCCATAACAGTCAAGCAGTTACGTGGGTATGGGTGCAGCAGAGGTTTAGATCATCCCTGTTAGGGCACATCTCACATTTCTTGTTACCTCTCTGCAGCACTTGCACTTCACACAGTGCTGCTACAGCACTTGATTCAGAAGTAGTAGATTGACCTCTCTGACCAAGGCTGTGTTTACTAAGAGTACAAAAACACCAGTGAACCTAAAAAAGGGCATGGGGTCATTTGTCTTCCGTTTTCCTGGTTCTGCTGTAAACCCACTGTGTACTACCCATAAACACATCTGCTGTTGTACCAGAGCCTGGGAAAACAGCAAATGTGCTCTGTGGTAAAGCTGTTGATGACCTTTCAGGACAACAATTAACTGGCTAACAAACACAAGTCCCAGGAGAGTCTGTGCCAGGAGGGTTCTGCAGGTGGATCTCACCTCTTTCACCCCCTTAAGCTCTGAAATGGATATTGCTTTGCTTTCCAGCTACGAAGCACATTATTGTCTGAGGTCAAAAACAGAGAGAAAACAAATGCACAAAATGCTGTGTCTGTGTAGATTACATTAATCTTAATGTGTCTAAGCTTGCACTACTGAAACCAGAGAATAGTTGAGAATTTATTTCTTTAGAAGTAGAATTAGACCTCAAACAAAAAATAAACCCTACTGTAGGGGGTATTTGCATGCTGAAAGTATTACATTTTTTCAAGGAAACTGTAAAATTTGAAACTGCCTGAAAGAAGGTGACATGCCAGAGAGACACAGAAGACAGGGAAAGAGAGGCTGTACTTTAATGTACAACAGATGCCAGGTTGGACAGCTTAGTTCTGAGTAATTTCAGAGCTTACATTCCATTTGCAAAAGTGACTTGAAAACTTTCAAATACTAACACATTGTAATTCAGCAGCTTTCCTGAAACATTGGCCGTGCATTGATGCCTGCAGAGATTCCACACATGGGTTCTAACAGCCTGGTTCTGCCTCTCCATTGTCTATTACTTCCACCACTGCTATCTGTGCTTGCTGTTTCTAGCAGCATCTCTGACTGTTTCCTAACTCTGATCCTTAATTATACCCTTTATTGCCTCTATATAGAATCGCAGAATCATTTTGGTTGGAAAAGACCTTTCAAGTCACAGAGTCCAACTATTATTCTAACACTGCCAAATCCACCACTAAACCATGCTCCTTTCCAGAGTGTGGATTTTGTGTCTCATCCCTTTGTCACCCAGTTTCATAGCAATGACTTTGTAGTTTGAGTTCTTATTGTCCTCCACAGAGCTGATGGCCCATGTCTGAACTGCACATACTTGCTCCATAGAAGTGTCCATCAGATATTATAGGTGATATTTACTGGCACCAGGCTTATGAAAGTCTTCAAATCTTCATATCATATCAATTCTCATACTATGTTTAACTCTCAAATCTGAAAATAAAGCCCCACTGTTACCCTTTCCACAGTCACTGATGCCACAGAATAGAGTTATATATTAATTTATGGTGGATTATCCATTCTCCAACGGCAGTGAACCAGAAATGCAGTCACCCATACTCAGTGCTCTTTCCATCTGCTCTAAACTTTCTCAGCAATTGTGCCTTTCTTTTGGAAGCTAACTGCAGAAATGAAATCTGTGCTCTTGGGGGAAGTAATCCCCACTCTGGAATGTGATGTGTGATACTAATGAGGAGCTACAATTGCTCACAGAACTGGAGGGAGCCAGGAGGGGGGAATACTTGCCAATTAAGTACTAGGCAAAGTACATGAGGAGGAGTTGTAAGAAGTCTCACCTGATCACAAATAACCTCTCCAGGTAAGCACAACTTATTTAAACACACTGATAAATAAGTTTTTGCTTAGTAGTTGTTCA